AATAATTTTTATTACGTTATCTATGAAAACATCAAGGTTATACAAAGAGTTTATGAACTATCGGGGGCAGTAATCCTCTAGAGTACCTAAGGAAAATATAATAGTCAAATAATGTAAAGTACGTAAAGTAATGTTAAGGGTACGATGGGGCTGACATATCTGTGATAAAAGCCCCTAAAAAGTTTTTTAGAATAAAAAAATTAAAAATAAATCTATCGGGGGGGGCGTAATTCTTTAACCAACCAAAGTACGTTGATATATCGTACCGAATATACTTAACTTTTTTTAATACAAAAGTAAGTCTCTAAGCATTGGAAATAAGGTCTATAATGGAGTTAGTAGAGACCGGTCACCGGTGACCGCTTGGGGATTAAAAGTTGTGTTCTCATTCATAAACCTCCAACGAAAGACAGAAATATTTGAAAAAGCTAGTATAGTAACAGACCTTCTTTAGTATATAAGTATAATAATGTAGATGAACAACTGCTTCTGCATTATATTCTATAGATATTACTGCTAATACCTCCAAGCAGTATTCATTTTAGAATTATAATAACAATACGTTTGTTTACAGTACAGACGGAGACGCTATACATAGGAAACTATGTCTTCTCAATCACAACTTAAGATTGATATTACAGTAAACGCCTGGGACTTAATAATTCAGAACTGATGTTTCAGAGCATATGTGATGGTCACCACGTGCTGGCGTGTCCTTGAGACTTCCCAACTTTGTTTTATTGTTTGTTCTTTGTTGCATTTTGTATCTTGTTTGTATTAAGATTAAGATTGCTTTTTTCAACTAGTGAAAGGAACACTAAGATGAAGATTATGAGATCTTTGTTGATGTAAAGTTGGTGTATGAATGTGCTATTAATATGAATTAATAAGTTTGTAACCGAAATCTTCGAGAGTTTACTCATAGTCTAACTTTATCGGTGATAAAAAATTCTTTGCGTTATTTCAAAGCCAAAATAAAAGCTGGCTTCGGAAAATACCAGCTAAAAATCTTAAAATGTTAATTCCAAATTGCCAATCAAGCGTCCGGTACAAAGTTTGTACGCGATCCCGAATAAATACCCGAAATCCCGACGGCCCCGGGATCGGACGCGGGACTAATGTCGCGGGCAGCCGGACAAATAGAGCGCTGGATTAGCAACGCCCTGATTAACTAAGCCTGATGTCAGCCTGTTTTGTTATGCACCCCTAGTACTTTCGCGAGATTGGACAATATTTTCCTGTTGCGTCACCGCTTTTGTGTCATCAAAACGACGACACGTCAATAAGATTAATTGAAAACTTGGTTGGAGCAGTTCACTGACCTCTAGCATAAATTCTGCATGTTAATCCCGTAAACCAGAGTATCACAACAAAGTTGGCGATCCCGGATGGATCCCCAATCCCGGGGGGCAGGCTGGACTCGAGAGTTATGTCGCGGCCAACCGGACAAATAGGATGTTGGATTAGCAACGCCTTGATTAACTAAGCCATGTCATCCTGTTTTGTTATGCACCCCTGGTATTCCACGAGATTGCATGTTTTTCTATATCTCTATAATTAAGGCTGTTGTTGTCGTCTATGAGACCCCATAGGCCTTTATAAGCGAGGGCAGTTGGTGAAAGTGCCTATTTAATTTAAAATTAATGGAAGTTTTATCTTTCGTGTTAATTTTGGTTTATTTTTCATGTAATTATTCCATTTTAACCCTTATTTCCATATTGTAGATGATCCTAAGACTAAATTAAACCTACCACGAGTGAGCATAAAATGTGTGTTGAGCTTAGATAAAATGAATGTGGATGGAACAAAGATTACTGCCATGTTCTATTTATATGTACTTAAACTGTCAAACACCAAGCGGTCACCGGTGACCGTAACCTATTGTTCTATAATTGTGTCTACAAAACCGGTACTCGACGAGTTAAATAAGTTTGACCGACCTTCACTGAACTAGGCCCATAACATGTCACTAATATAGGCAGACTATTGGCCTATCAGTTTTGAACCCCCAACATACTCTTCAAAGTGCACAAGTGCACTAATAGGTAATACCTCTTAACCAACTTCATAATAATATTAATTAGAGCACTTTCCAACCTGAACATTATCACTTTCATCAACAAAGTAGAATCTCGCTTGTTCACCTGGCACTTTATTGCATAATATAAGTAGGAGCGCGCCCTCGCATAATGCCGACCAGAATGCATTAACATTCGCGTTGGCTCAAGTAATGACATACGGTGCTTGTAATTAACGAGTACACCGCGTGTGGTCTTGTGTTCCTGTTTTTGATAGAAAAATCTATCATTTTTGTAACATCTTATTTTGTGCAGCGGTTGGTTGCTCTATAGTAGTACATTTTGTTATAGAATAATCTTCAGTAGCAGCTCTGGTTTTGCTGCTGTAGCATTCCATTCATATTAATCAGTATATCCAAATAATTTTCGTCTGCAAATCAGTTGACATCATAGGTATATAGGTATCTTTCTTTTATGAGGATGAAAAATCACCAACAATGTACAATTATAACGTAGGCACTCATAATATGAATGGTTCATACGATTAAGCAAAATGCGAAGTCACAACACAACCACAGCTAATCGCTGAGTCAATGTTCAATAGCATACCTAACAACACTAGGTGATATATAGTTTCAAAGCAAATAAAACTTTAATACCAAGAAACAAAACATATTTTCTAATCTATATAGGTACAGTGGAAAAATACTTAGACAAAGACTATTTCGTAATAATGTTGTATGTGCAATATAGAACCTTGCCTTACGACACTTGATGAGACAGTGCGAATAACGCGATGACGTCACTTCAATAGTAAATTATATTATCTGCACGACTGTATGTCGCACTATTTCAAACTAATTGCAATTTTTATTATATTGTCCTTTGATAAGGCACATGTTTGTAGAGTTAATGATCGCATTAAAAAGTTAATGTGTTTATAGTTCATCGTGCATGTTGAAATAAAATAATGATATCATAAATATAATCATCCAGATCCCGATGCAGATGTGGACTTGAAACGTCATCTGAATCTGGAGTTGAAGATATCCCCTAAGTGGATGGCAGTGGTTAGATGCAAAGAACAAAAGAAAAACGTCTGTAGTGTTCTATTGGAGAGACTAATCTTCAAATATAGACTAAAACAAACTGATGATGATGATGATGCGGACGGATGGATGGGAATCAAATCGTAGGACTTATGTTCTCTAATTGCATATTATTATCCCAAAGAAGCAAATACTTCTAAGGATAGGAGTAATCTAACATAATGTTTGTGAAATATTATATACGTTTCCAATTTTAGTTATTTTCTAAGAAATAGCTCTCATATCGCTGCAATATATATTATTTTAACATCTAATATCATTTCAATCAATCAATATTGCTTTTTACTTTGACACAAATGTAATTTTGCTATTCTTAATTTCATTGTTCTACTCGATATTATGAAACACCTAACGCAATCAAACTTATATTTTATCTACTTTGGATAAAACTCAAAATGCTTTAACGGTACAATAAGCGCTACGTCTGCAATACATCAACATTTGTTTTTGTCAATCAAACCTTTCAAGATGGTACTACTTACCTTTTTACACACAACAAGTACAATGAGGTGATTAATAGCAACCTTTTGTCTTCCTAGCGTGGGTAGCGCTGGATTCTTGTGACTACTATCCAGGTTATAGCAGAAGGTTCAGTAAACGGATGGCAAATTATTTTTAACTGTAACTTACTCGATACAATACTTTCTTCTTCTTCCTGGGTCCTTTGGAGTTAGTCTTCTTTTTCGGCACATACGTCATCTGATCACTAACTCCTTTCTCATCATTATTCTCGCAGAATTCATGTTTATTCAATGTTTTGTATCCTGCCACTTAGCAATCTATTTTTTCAAACAATAGTTTAATATTTTGTCAGGTTTCTTTTGGTAAGTTGTCTTCAGCAGAGTTTACCATCCAGTAATTGTGATTCAAGGTTCGTTATACTGTTTCTCTTAATGCGAGTGTATTTTAAACTTCCTTCTCTCCGTAAAGCAGCAGCCAAGTTGTGTATATGTTGGTCCAATTTAGCTTGATAGTTCCTTGATAGTTGACTCAATTTTTTGTTTAACTGTCATGTATTAAACTAACTATAGTTTTTAACAAAACTTATTTTTCATCAAGATCGTTGTTATTCATATGATAGTTTTTGTTTTGACGTTCAAAAGTGCCTTCCTGGTCTAATTGAAATAAACGATTTTGACGTTGACTTTCACTTTGTATTTTGGATTTTGATTAATCGTTGTAACGTTTTACCAAAGACCGATTAGAGTTAGTTCATCATAGTTAATAACTTATACTTCAAGTCTATCTTTACCACCACCAGTCCTTCTGTATTTGTTGGCAATGCACCACATTCTATACAGACTAGAACCTGTATACTTACATACGTATGCCTTTGTTTACTTAGGAAGCGATGATGTCATACAACTTAAGGCTAACGTTATAGCAGACACACTCGATTTAAACTTAACGAAGATTTATGTTGCTATAGACGATAGCTAGGGAATACTAATGGAGAACCTAGGTATCAATTTATTTGCAACGTTATTTAATTTCATACAATCATAATTTGAATGGAATGAATCAATATTGCTTTAGTTGGTTTTAGGTTAGAATCTTAAGGAGGGAAAAAATAGTCCGCAATGTAATATTGCATAGGTACAGTCAATTTATGAACTTATCTGTGTTATTGTAAAGGTAACTGTAATTTCCAATTACAATTAATATATAAATACAATTTATTATTTTAACTAGCCTATCCCGCTGCTGGGGAATGGCTTCTTCAAAATTCTTCTACATTTCCTTGTCACCACAAATAACAGCCTCTTCGCTGATGTCAACTATTCCTGATATGGAGCAGTTCTGTAAATCAGTGTTGAAAATACAAAATATTGAATAGAACCAGATATTAATGAACATTTTTTCATTGTTACAGATTTAGCTGGGATGACAGTAGATCTATTAAGACAACATTCCTGGTAAGTTTAAATTATTTTCTACCTAACTATTTTACATTCGCGCTGTTTAAGTTTCACTTGGAATTGGAGCAGCAACAATACTTACAAGGACGTCTTGGAATCGAATTGTACTAAACTGTTGTCTAACTTTATCTATTAGACTTGATAAAACTAACACTGCTTCGGAAGCAAACCTTGATACTATTGAACTAATAATGTTATCAAGGTTTTGTAGAGTAGTATATAAGAGAACTGAAATTGCTAAAATTCTTTAAGGAACTTTAAGCTTTATTGTGAAATGATAATAAGGTTGAAGTTCTGTTTTTAACATATGGGGTTGTTTTTGTCTGTACAGTAGAAAATGAAACTACTAAATACTTAAAAGTATGCTACGCTTGACAGACATTTAATAGCGAAGGATGAAACAGGCAGATGAAATGCTGACGAGGCGACCGTTGTGTCGTCAGCCCATGTTTTGTAACGTGTGCACATTTTATTAGTCATTTATTCTGCAATAAAATGAAGTATCGTCTGACGGCTTTGTAAAGCGTAGGGCCTTACATCATAATATTAACTTCAAAAGCATCAGTGAGTCAGTAAGTAGGTCACACGATAGACCCTATCGCTACCTATTTAAAACTAGAACGCCCATAATACTCTAATAGGGTGCATACTCGTAATCTTTACGAAATCTCGTACGGTGCACATAAAACGATAGTCGGGACATTTCTCGTTATCTTGCGTTCGACGCAAACGATTCGGAAAATCGAACGGAGCCGGCCCGTGTCGACTTCCATTACCGGTATTAGAGTGTCGAACGTTCGTCGCGATTGCTATCGACTCGCGATAGCGATTCGTTCGCGGTTCAGAGATATTTATGCGAAGATTGACGCGCGTCTGATGTGATTTGAATGTTTAAATCCTTGTTGGATATTTATGGTTTTTATAGAATGATTGTCAACTTGATTATTGGGCAAGGTAAATCTGATTCGATCCTCAAGTATGACAATTCATTTTATTATTTCACCTCTTACCGCTGTAGTTAAAAAGTATACCGCTAGAATTTTATTTTGCAAAACTTTAATTTCTTTCCGCTATTCCATGGAACTAATCATAAGTTATAAACAATATTGTACCCTACACATCTGATTATCCTCTCAATTAATAACAGTGTAGTGTAACCAACTAGGTAGCATTTTAAAAAATAGCCAGTCGAGTAATAAAACGTCAGCTAACCACAAATGATTGGTATAATTGCTCACAATTTGCATTCAATGAATCAGAATATTCTAGAAATATTTTATTACCGAGTAGGCGGACACTAACAAGCCAGCGTTTATATAATTTTCTATTACTATAAAAATACATTTTTCTGCCACACAAAATTTCACTGTATTCTAAAGAAGTTAAAATCTATATCTAATAAGTAAGGGTGGTTTATATTAAAGATGGAAATATTTTTCGTCTTTGTCTAATTTAATTAGGAATTAACCGTGACTCAACCATAAACCAACGAATGAAGTTCCTTGCTCGTTCTTCTCCATTCTTATCTACATTTTGGAATGAGCACCTAGCTTCACCTAGCTTCACTGACGGACTGACTGACAGACTATTATTTATTTTGTATTTGTTGACGTTTCAAAAGTACCAAATTATGGTTTAATTGGAATAAATGCTTTGACTTTGACTTTGACCCTTAAATATATGTGTGGTACTATCGTTCATTTAAGTAAGTTTCAAACGACATTGTTCTGGATTCTGTTTTCCTACATTATTATTAGTTTTAATCAACTAACCAGTGGTTGTGATAATGCACAGCTTCCAAAATTAATGCATTCAGATACAGTTAATGATTACTTCCATATATTTATTTAAAATTCTCTAAAATTTACATTTTTAAATACTATTTCCAAAATAAAAAATAATATTTAAAATATAAAAAATAGGAGCCGACCAGTAGCGGGAGCATGGTCCAAGCTACTGGTGGTTAGGGTTCCAGAGACAGAAACCTCCTCACAATACGTGCCGTTTCTAGGAAAACCGCCTTCTGTATCAGGCCCTTGATCCATCTACCTAACGCCAGCCTCCTAAGATGGATGTCGAGGCTTTTAGGAATTAACCCAATGGCTGACACGACTATCGGCAGAATAATGATTACTTGTTGTTATATTTAAAATGAGAATGCAATTGAAAAATCACACCCGACCTACACTCACATCAAACAAAAATACTGTTCTAGACACAGGACCTGTAACAAATCACACAGCAGCTGGACCACCCAATCAGAACCCGGAAACATTCCAAGTTACAATTACACTGTTACCCCAAGGTAGGGGTAAACCCCATAAAGAGGGTAAAACACCCCCAAACTTGTTAAAGAGGGGGATCTGTATCGGCAGAGACAATAGGAAATACTAAAATTGCCATTCTGCTTGTCCCTTCGGAATTGGTATACAGATTCGATTTTCCAATATCAAAAAACACTTCCTTAACTGTCATGGTTGGATGGTCTTTTATTTTCGTTGTGTTTCATCGTTTTCAAAATATTGACAGATTTCGAGACATGTTTTATTGCTTTTTTTTTATCCATAAACTGAAGCTCTTGCAAATTTTAGATTAGAATATCATGTATCTATAGTTGCAGTAGACTGCCTCGTTGGCCGAGTGGTCGCAAGTGCGGCAGTCGGGCAAAGGGTCTCGGGTTCGATTCCCGGGTCGGGCAAAGTGGAATTGTGCCCGGTATCTTGCAATAGGCTCACCCCTATTACATGGGACTCATAACATAAATATTGAAAAGTGGGTGTTACATTGTACAGTGGCATAATGTGCACCTCTGCCTACTCCTTCGGGAATAAAAGGCGTGATGTTATGTATGATACCATCGACTTCAATAAGGAAACCTTTTGGAAATCATTAAAAGCCTTCGCAAAGCCTCAGTAAGTTTACTTCACTCAAAACCAGGTGTCATACTATGTCGTCAGTACAACACCTAAAGTGTGAATCATTACTTGTATATTTCCCGTGACTGTAAAATGAAGTATGTACCTATTAGTTCAGTATGACATTGTAACGAATCAGACGTGACCAAATGTGAGTACGATATCATTCTTAGCCACAATACCTTTTAATTGAGGTCAACTGATAAACGAACTGTGTGCAGACGTACTTTATATACATAATACCTAATATTTTATGTACATTGATAAAATATGCCTCGAGTTGCTTTGAATGTTTGATTGGATGCAAGAGCGACTATTGAGAGTGAAATCTTAGGCACTTTTCTTAATCACTACATAGTATAAAACAAAGTCGCTATCCGCCGTCTGTCTGTCCCTATGTATGCTTAGATCTTCAAAACTATTTATTTAAAACTATGCAACGGATTTTGATGCGGTATTTTTTAATAAGTAGAGAGATTCTTACGGAAGGTTTATATGTATAATACGTGCACGTCCATATTCCACGCGTGCGAAGCGGGGGCTTGTCGCTGGTCAAAAATAATTATTTCGACTATTCAATACAATAAAATATGAAAAAAGAATCACACTTTCATTAATTGATTATAGAACCAACTTAATTTTAGTATTTTTACCGGTAATTGAAAAAAAATAAGTATGCTGTTTGACGCTAAAAAACGTGTCGTCACAATACCTCGTACAAATTTCATAGAAAATTGTCGTTTTTGACAGTTTGAAAAAAGTACCTATTGAATTTGATTAGTTCGCAAGTATCCAATTGGTCGTGTTACAAATTACCTAGCCTTTGCACAAAATTATTATCCTAGTTGATCAAAAGTAACATACCTTGCTAAAGCCAGTGTTTTCAGAAGGATTCAATATAACCTGAATGTACTTGAGACTTCAAGTAAATAGACACCTTATAGTTTACCACTAGAAGTCAAAGTTAAAATCAAAGTCAACATTAAGTATTTATTTCAATTAAACCAAAACGACACGTTTGAACGTCATCAACAAATTAAAAGTGAAGCTATTTGTTCATTCCAAGGTGTAGATTCCTATGGAGAAGAACGAGCAAGAAGCTCCATAGGTTACACTCTTTTTAATCAGATTCACAAAGTTTTTGGTCAAAACCCTATCAATTGTAGATAGGTACGTATGTTATTAAGTACACATCTGCTCTGAGTAAAATTCAACTTATAAAAACATACTCGAAATAATAGACAGGTCAGAATTTAAGCTCAAAATTAAACCTGTAATAACTAACCAAAAGTAGCTTGCACAGTAAGTACACCACAGACCATTATTATATCTATGAAGTACATCAATATGGATCCCAATTCTAGGAAAAACCGGTTTGATGCTGTTTCGGGACTCACTTCTGCAAATTGTAAATATGAATTTAGTTTAGTGGTCTGGAGTGATTTCCTGTATAAAGTTTTATTAATAAACTCCTTTATTGAAAGGTTTGTTACAATCTGAATTATTAACCGTGGCTTTTTCTTGGAATACCTCAGTTCTAATTACGTTTTGAATAAACGAAAATTCGATTAGCAAACATGGAATAATTATAGGAATATTGTGATTTACGTTGTTCATATTAGAAGTAGGTACTCTAGATTATTACGTCTGGTAGATTATTTCAAATCATTCATCAAGAGACTTATATTTTATTTTCTTACAGAAACGAATTTTTCTTTCGACGATATATCGGTTTCGGTTTAAAGAAATTTATTTCTCATAAGATCATACAGTCCACTTATAATGAGATACAAAGTAATAAACAAATATAGTAGGTACAATACAAATTTCCTCCAAAGTATTAGCAGTTATAATGTACTTAAATGTTTCTTTCATATATTGTTTCATATTATATTGATTTGAAATGTCGCGTGACGTCACTTCTATGTACATTTTATACGTAGAAATGACGTTTTAGTCCCTACACCTAAACTTTGATTCTTTTTATCTAAGTATTGTTTTATTATACGACAAAATAACAAAATACGTGTCTAATATTTTTTCACCACCTAACTTACGGACTCACGATAGTTATTATATATA